TCGGTCAAAAGATTTGTGTTCAATCACAGGTACTCTACTTGCTGGACTTTAGGCAAATTATTTGATCTCTCCAAAGCAAACTAAGTTTCAAGGCAAACTTTATAATCATAATTATTTGAAATGTAAAATGATGTAGATTAAGTTAAATAATTCATATATGAAAATTGATTAAGTAATAGCTATTTTCAGGAAGATATATTTTGTTCATCATGGTAATGGTATAACACTAAATCTGTGGTTAAAGAAAAGGATTTTCCCAAAACAGTTCATTTTAAATGTAGTGTTTGGGGAAGGCGTGAAGGGAGTATGAGAAACCTTCCTTACTTAAATTAGCCATTTAAGTTATGCTGTTTCCATTTTGTATGAAAAGGCATCTGTACAATTAAATGTTTCTATCCCTTATGAAAATAAAATCAGATATATTCAGAAGACCCTTATACAAAGTGAAAGACTTAAAAAGATAGGTAATAGAAACATAATAATCTTATTCCAAGTTAATGTCAGTAGAATTGAAATCATAATAATTGAGGTAGTACTGGGAAAGCATTTTACCCTTTTTTAAGGAATATGTTTTATTGTAGCATTAAATTGATAAGAGATTTTTGGAGGATTTACATTAAACCAGAACCCTGTAAAGAACTTGGAAGTAATTGGGGTGTTTAATTTTATTTTTATATTGTTTATTTTCTTGCCACTTCCTTCAGAACTCTGGGATGGATCCCATTTTGCCCTGGAGTTGTTCCCGCACTGGCAAGTGGGTATGCTAGCACACTGTGTCATGCAGAGCAGATAAGGCTCCTAGAATTTTGTTCTTGCTTTGCTAGATTTTCAGGAATGTTAATGTGAGTGAAAGAACCATAGATATTACATGTCCATAAATTCATGTATATTAAATATAAGTTCCATGTTTTTCTGCCTTTTGTCTTCAAACTTATTTGTTCTTATCAAATCTCTTTTTGTAATTTTTTTCTGGTTCTGTTTTCTACATTAATCTTCCTCTTTTTTTCACTTACTCCTTAATCTGGTGAAGTCTAATACTTGACCTCACCATATCTTTTTCTCAATATATATAAATTCTCTCTCTCTCTCTCTCTCTCTATATATATATATATAGAAATAGTCACTGTTTGTCCTTTAACATTTAATTCATAAGCTTTAAAAATCTATGTGATATATGAATCCATATTTTCAGCTTCTTTTCCCACTACTTGTTTTTCCTTTTTCTGTAGTGAATTTTCTCAAGATAGTGATAGGCATTGCTATACCTCAAATGTGTGTCATCGAGAACTTTAAAAATTAGGCTTTCAGGACTGGAGATGTAACTAAGTGGTAAATTGCTTATGTAACATGTGCAAGGCCCTGGGTTCAGTCCCCAGCAGTGCAAAAAATAAATAATTAAAAATAAAATTAGCCTTTTAACGATTAGGTTTCTTACATCTGAGAGAATATACATTGAATTAATGAACTTAGTTCATCTTTAAAATTTCATAAATCAGTCTAACTTTACTGATTTTGATTGTTTTAAAATTAAGGAAAAACTAAGCTTTCAAATGAAATTTTTTTCATTCCTTTTCTGTATTTTAAAAATTGTCTTATTTTGTTCTTTTTGAACAAAATACTTTCACAGTACCAACTGTAACAAAGACAAGAATTAGAGGAAATATATATTCCTTTTTGTCATTTTTTCTTTTTGGAGAGAGAGAGAGAGAGAGAGAGAGAGAGAGAGAGAGATCTTGCCCATAACTTGAGATCTTCCTGCTTCACCTCCTGAGGTACCACTACACCTAGCTTACATTTCTTTCTTTGAGAGGTTGATATCTAACAAATTCTGAAAGCAACACAAAAACATTTTCAATTTTCAAAGCCTTTTTCTTTTAATGGTGCCCAGAGCCTCGCATATAGTAGACAAGTGCTATACCACTGAGCCACATCCCTAGGCCAATTTTCCATTACTTTTGCATGAAGGATGAACCTGGTTTTAGACTACTGAAATAATAGCTACTTTTCTTTCTTTTTTTCTCCTTAAATATTACTGTATTTTCAACTGGCCCTGAACATGTATATTTTTATTTAACACCCATCTTTGTGAAGCTTAAATTGATTTATACAAAATCAAAATTCTCCCAATTCACATAAAAGGAAATTTAAGAAAACAGTTCAGAACATCTTCCAACAGTTTCAGATGGGTTTATCTTAATGGGTTTATTGAAAGATTTATCTAGTGTCACACTGAAAATGTATATGACATGTCTTACTTCAACATTCATTCCATAAAGTTCCACATTTCCAAACTAATAATTAGAATATTTTATGATATTAAGTATCTTAAATTTTAGTACCTCAAACTCATCTGTTGAATGCCTGAAATCTTCTAAAATAATGTTCAAAATTTCTTTGCTTTCTTATTTGAAGTTGTAATAATTTTATCTTCCTGCAATACAAGTTCCACTTGGATAGTATTTGAGAATCGAAAGAAAAATAAAGGTTATCTTTTTCTAATGTTTATTTACTCTCTGGGATATTCAATAGAGCAATCTTCATTAAATAAAATAACATTGAGGCCATCATTTAGGAGGCTGAGGCAGGAGGATCTGGAGTTCTAGCCAGGCCAGAAAGAAAGAAAACATTGAAAAGAAAGTCTGAGTTTCTGGGAAAAGTGTTGAAGTTGCCATTGACTGTTCAATTCTAAATTCTTCAGAACATAAATGATAGTCTTCAGAAAATTGTGTCAGATTGCTACAATGGAAAGTAACATTAATATACTGTACCCATTCTAAATAAATGCTATGTCAAAACAACTCTCAGAAAACTGCTTGCATTTTTTCCCAACTAACATGTTGAGAGATCCCCTTTTGGAAATTTTGAGGGTCAGAGATAGAGGTATACACCTGTAATCCCAGCTGAAGCAGAAGAATCTCGAGTTCCAGGCCAGCTTGGGCTATATAGCAAAACTTTGTCCTCCCCCGCCACCAAAAAAAAAAAAGAGAAAAGAAAGTTTTCATTTGAAATATATTAAAAGATTATTTGGTGTAAATAATAGGCTTAGTGTATTGCTTAGTTATAACTGATAATACTTTAATAAGAACAAAAATAAAAGTAAACCCATCTGTATTCTTTACCCCAAAGAAGCTGATTACCTTAGTTTAGATACTTAATACATATTCTTTAATAAGTGAGTCCTCTTTTTACCCCCAACAGCACACCCAAGGAGTCTTTTTGCAACAAATTCACCCACACTAATTATCAACTGTAAACATCACAGAAGTAAGTTAGCACAAGCTAATTATAAAGCCAAACAAAAACTTAACATTTTCCTACCTCTTCTTTCACCTCTTCCCATCCCCATTAGTTTTTAATGTTCCTTTAACCTCAGATGCAATCATTCTTAGTTTATGTCAAAGTCAGACTTTGGAAACTAGAATATTGTCTTTACCATTTTCTGTAATCTGTCTTCTGTTTTAAACTAAAATTACACAGCACTTCTTTTTGATTCTTTCTAGCTTTTAACAAAATAATATATTAATTTTTAGGAGTAAAAAGAAGTCATTCCATTCAGTGTAACCACATATTATAATTTATTTAACTTTAAATTATCAGATGTTTCTACTCTTTTAATATGTCTCTTTGATTTTGTTGGTGTAGATTTAATAATAATAATCTTACAAATTTTGTTGTAGTGTTCTAAAATGGTTGGATAGCTGTAAAATGTTACCTTTCTTTCTCTTCCACACTAAAATCCATTGTGTGTTCTAATTGCACATAACACCAAAGAAAAACCTTGTCTACCACTTTTAAAAACAAACTGTGAATGTGAAAATGTTTTCTGATGTGTTTCTGCTTTGTTAAGCTCGATAAAGCAGTTTCAATCCAGAAGACATGGCCTAAATGTTTGTCAGTGTGCAACAATAAGATGACCTTTCTTTGCCTCACTCTCATAATATATAAAAATCTCGAGTTGTTTTGATTGCCAAGATTTTATTTTAGTAATTCCAAGCTGCTATAAAATAATACTCTAGAAAGTTTATTTAGAAAAGGTGGGAAAGTACAGCAATAAATTAAATAAATTGGAGAATATATTAGTTTTACCAAAAACAGGCTGAAATCGTCTTTGTTTAAAGTACAAGAAACCTAAGAAATTAAAAAGAAATCTTTTGAAAAGGAAGATTAAAAATATATTCGGGTGATAAGTAAAATCTTCATTTTACTAATACCTATCAAATGACCTTAACTGAATAAAATCTAAAAGTCACTAAACATAAATGTCCTCTGGTTTAGATTTGGATTTAAGAATTACAATGTTTGGGTCGAATTATAATTTATAATTATATGGTATTAGGACTTCTTCAAATCTGAGAATTTGTAGGCTTATAGCTTCAGAAGTATACAAAGCTAGTTGAACCATAGAATAAATTAATACATTTTTTATAATACTGAGTTTTAAATGTTGGAGTAAGCGTAATACCACTGTAAGCCACAAGGTGGGAGTGAAAGGCAAGAACTTGTGATGAACCAGTTTAAATACATAATTGCATTGTCTTTATAAACCTTTGAAATATCTGCTAAATAAGAAGCTACAGCTTGGCTTTCTTCCTCTATTACAGCTGTATTCCTTAAGGAGTGTATAACAAAATACAAAGACATTGATTTGAATTTATGGGCCATTATTAATGAGTATCAGGAAACATTCACAGATTTTTTTTATTCTTAAATTTCTGATCATGATAACAGTACCAATTTTGATCAGTAACCGAATGTTAGAAATTCCTTCAGTTACCAGTACAGAAGATAGTAATTATAGAAATTTCCAAAAATACTTAATACTTTCTTTCTTCATTTTCCTTTATTTCATTTAAAGGAAAAAAATTACATTTTTTTTGTTTGTGTATATGTGTGTGTAAACTGAATCAATTTGTTTTTCAATACAGAAATTTTCCTATTACCTCAGTCCCATTTGCATTTGGAAGCAATTTAAAGTATAATAATTTTTTTGTCTCCTTAAGGTAAGAAGACAAGAGGTTTCTTCTAGAAAAGAAACTTCACCAGGGAGTCTTGGCATTCCTTTATTCCATGAAAGGTAGTTCTGTATCTTTTTTTGCCAACTCAAAATTATAAACATTGAAATATACAATATTTTACATTTATGTATTTAAATTTTCTAACAATTTAAGAAAATAGCTAACTCTTTTAGAACTGGAACAGACCATCCTAGAGCTTCTAAATATGGAAATGACCTAAATAAGTCATACAGTTAATAGCAGAGACGGATCTAAAAGCTGAATTTTCTAAAGCGCTGCTATTTCAATAGACCATGAAATAGCAGCCATATTCTACATGGATGAATCATGATGTGAACCTCACCATAGTGAGGAGTATTTAATATTCTACTTACAGTATTTATAGAGAATAAAAGCCGATGCATTAAAGTTTTCAATTTGAGAATAAGGCAGCCAGCATCAGTGTGATGTATGAATAAGTAGATATACTAATCTGCACTACATTTATGTATTAAAACTTCTAATTTGTTACTTTGTGCCTAGTTCCTCAAATATTAAAGTTATTTTGAGGATATTTTCTGCAAATTTAAAATAATTTTTTAACCTTTAACTTTCAGTGATTTATGGTACCTAAAAGGGTGCTAGGTAAACTTAATTATAGTCAAATAATATTTGAAGTTACAACGTTAACATTTTAAAATATTGATTTGTTTTTAGGGATAATACAGAGAAGACTTTTGGGGATCTGAAAGAAGAATTTCATAGAATATGCATGCTAGCAAAAGCACAAAAAGACCACTTAAGCAAACTTAATATACCAGACACTGCAACTGGTAAGATTTGATTTAGCTTACAGTAATTTTAATTTTATTGGTTGAAATTGATTTTTTTTTCCAATGTGAAAATCTTTCTAAATGTTTATTAAGTGCTAAGGAACTGCATCTTGTGCTATTTAAGTTCTATACATCAAGTAATTCTTGGCTTTTCTTTCTTGTCTTCATTGTACATGGCGCTATATGTTTAATTGAATGACCTAATTAAACAAGTTAATGAGAAGTCCCACCTTGAAAAGATACAAAATAATTATAGGATAAATCTCTCAACATTTTCATTTGTTATTTGGGGGTCATATTAAACATCAACTCATGTTAGTAAATGACCTTGAGCTAAGTAAAATTATATCACATTTGTTTTTAACTTCTGCCTGAAATTTCATTGAGCACTATGAGTAGTTTCTGATAATTTGGCTCAAAAACAAAAATATGGCATGCACATTTCCTGAATACCAGTTCTGTTGGAGGTACAAAATACAAATTTAATATAAAATACAACATAGGAACATCTATTTTGTACATAGCTTGCAGTATGTCTTTAAGAACTACCCGCTCCTAAAATCCCACACTGGCTTCCTGGTGTTTGCTAGGTAGTTAATAGGAAAATACCAAGGATTGAGTCTGGCAACCAAACAACACTTCTGTAAACAAAGGGAAGTACACTGATCATTTGTTATGATAAATTCTCCTTTACCCTTGTGATTTGAGATATTCTGCAGACAGTTCCTAAGTGATGTGATTTACAGTTTTCACTCTAGAGATACTGCAGCAGTGCTGACTAGCAGCCTTTTAATTAAAGATCACTCCCTTTTTTATAACTCTTAGATCTAAGCTATTTAAAAATCATATTATAAAGTTCACTTTTTGCAACTTCTAGCTTTTTATGAGAAAAGTTATACATCATAGTGAGGGAGAAACAAAATAATCTTTGTAAATAGACATAATTTGCTTCTCCCCCCACCATCTCCTCAAAAAGAACTCTTAATTTCTCCATCTTAATTTTTGTCATTTTCTTGAGAAATTGACCTGTTGTACAGACTTAAGATATTACATGTGTCTAGTAAACATTTTTATTTAAAGTCTGCTTAGCTATAGCGATGTAAACCTAGAATTCATAAACATGCTTTTTGAACAACATCTTATCAAAACGTTGTAATGGTGATATATTCTTTGTTACACAGAGAACATACCCCATTATCAATGGCTTAATACTCTGACCATCTTTAAATTGTGCAGGTCTAAATCTGAGTATGTATCTGTCAACTAGAACACTGAGTGTTTAACTTCAATTTCTTCTCCACCAAAACTGCTTCCTAACATTATTCTTATGCTTTATTTTAACTGTGTCACAAATAATAAAACATTATTCTTGAAATGTTTTATTAGATCTTTTATGCTACAGACTCCAGTAAAATTTTTCTTGGTCCAAACAGGAAACAAAATATAAAATATTATGCCCCAACAGTAGTAGGTCAGAAGGGGAAATAACAAAAAATATTTTGGGAAAACATACTTATTCAGAGTTCCTAAGTGTGTATGCTACATTGCCTAAAAATACAAAGGAACTATTTTAAATACAATTTACATGAAATATCCAGAATATATTCCCTATTTTTTTTTATTAAAATTCAACTTTGAAAGAACCAGATACAATTCACGGAAAAATACTGAATTGGTCAAATTGTACATTTCATTTTCATTACTTTATTTTTTCTATTCATCCACATATGGCAATACCCTTGAGAAAGGATCAAGGTAGAAGTGTATGTTTAAGTAAATATGTCTTCAGAAAGAAAGTACTATTAGGGCCAAAAGGATGGTGCTGTTTCACTGGCTATTAGGAGAGAGGAGTATAGAATTAGGACTTACAAAATGCCATTAGGTCTTCTTCTTTTGTCATTATTCATGATAATTACAAGAGAAGTAGTCTAAGTCGATAGCCTGTACATAAAATTTGGAAATCTAAAAATGTTTCTCATTTTACTTATTTTTCTTGCAAACGTAAGTATTCTTGAAGCAAACAGAATAGAAAAGCTATTTGCTCACCTGATCATGTTTCTCACTCAGTATGGTATCAGAATGACAAGTAGTTTCAAGAACCTGTTTTGAGTTTTAAGGTTTCTAAACTCAAATTTCTGGTAGTTATGGGAATCTTAGGTTAAAATCATCTTTTAATAGTAATTCATTCTCACTGCATGAGCAGATTACGTCAAATTACTTTAATGTGGTTGAGATTATATACCAGCTAGCTATGCTGAAAGAAAATATCTGCTTTATTATAGCTGTTTGATTTCTCCATGTTTTCTTTGTAAGGGGGAGGAGGGTAGGTCAACAGTCAGGAACGTAATTCCAAGCATAAGTCTGCGAATATGAGGACTCCTTTCTATATATAGAAACCAACATGTTCAATTTAGCATAATAGTTCTGAGAATAGATTCTAGAGTCAGACTGCCTGGGTGCTAGTGCCAGATCTACCACTCAGTAGCCATGTAGCCTTGGAATTAATCTCTCCATATCCTTGTTTCTTCACATACAAATTGGGAATAATAATAGTGGAAGTATTCTAAATATTAAATGAATTGATGCACACATAGCCATTATAACAGTGCATGGAACATGGAAGTGCTATAATGTTAGTAGTCATTGCCTTTAGTTGCAACAGCAACAGATTCCAAAACATTCACCTTTTCTCCTGAAGATCATTTGCTAAATCTTTCCTCCTTCTCAGGTATTACAGCATTTGATTACTGTGTCAGAATTTCTTGCCATCCAAAAGTCTACTACCAGGAAAAATGGCTGCTTGAGTTAATGGACAGGCAAAGGGCTGGGCATGGTGATACATGCTTGTAATCTCAGCATTAATGAGACTGAGGCAAGAGGATAGAGAATTCAAGGCCAGCCTGGACTAAATAGCAATACCCGGTCTGAAAGAAAGCGAGAAGGAGAGGGGAGGGAGAGGGAGGCAGTCTGTATATAAGAGTATGAACTAAAGAAGTTAGTGGGATTATACACATCATATCCAAACAAAATATATCTGTGTTGGGATGTGCTGTGGCAAGAGATAAAATTATGTCATGAGACCATAAAGCTCTATAAAGGATTCCATAAAATAATACAAAGGCTTCCATAAAGGAAGACATTTGTTAGGTTCCTAGTGACGTGGACCAACACTGTGCTAGGTGCTCTGTATATCCTGTTTACTTAAACCTGCATCATTGGTAAAGTCTCTGTTTGTGAATCTACAACACTGATGACAGTCTTTTAAAATGCTAAGTTTTAAAATTTTTACTATTTATCCATTCATTAAAAATACATTACCAACCTTAATGCCTTTTTGAAGTGACATTATAGAACATAATTTAGCTTTTTCTAATGTCTCAGGATCATCAGCATAGAAAGTGTGTTGATCATTGTTGAGTTTTGTTTTTGTATTGTGAAATACAGCTCTTGTTGACCCTATGTTAGACTGTAGTGTTTTCTTAGTCCTTATATCTGTATTTTTTGTTTTTCTTGCCTCCTCACATGCTTTCAGCTGTTATTAATTTCTTATCTGCTTTTAACAAGTGATACTCCCTTTTAATTTGGTATTTCAAACTAACTGTGGGCTAAGAAAACATCAAGCATGTTATAATAAATCTAAAATGAGTATAGAAGCAAAATTCATGTATTCGTGGACCTTGTAGCTCTAATTCTAACTCCTCGGAAGTTTTACTTACTTTCTAGTGTTTCACTGTGTCCTAGGGAGCTGAATTTGATGGATAATCAGCTCCTACATAAATGAGCTTCAGAGACCTGATACCTAGCTCATACCTACCTGTTATCTACAGAGGCCTTTAAGTCTGAGGAAATCATATATTCACATGTATTTTTATTAGCATGCTTCCTAAAATTTCATCTTCCTTTTACTTCCACTGTCTTCTTTCTTCCCAACCCCCACCACCACTTCCTCACATGGACTGTTGAGAGTAGACAATACCTAAACTAGTGATACACTTGTTTTCACACTGATAATGGGGATAATAAATCACCTAATTCATGTAGTAAATAATACATGATTTTTATATTTATATATATATGCACACACACACCCACGCGTGCATACCTAGTAAGGATTTTTTACTTTTAACAAGCTACTTGTGTAAGCAAGCTCATAGTTGCAGCTTCCGTTAAAAAAATTTTTAAATGTATACACTACAAGCAATTTTTTTTTAAGTGTGGAGCAGTATGTATAACTGAACAAGTTGCAAAGCTTACTGCAGAAGACCTAGGAAAAGACAAAGTAGTTAAGCTGCAAATAATAAGCTGTGTTCTAGTTCACCTGCTGGAAACTGCTAGTATGTAAAATAGCAAATGTAAAATTCCCAGTTGTCTTCAGTTGCTATAAAAACCAATAGAAAAAACAATACTTATTTATCTAAAGCTTATTGAACAGATTTATTAAAGAAAATTTGAATGTGACAGTTTCCCTTTTGTATCTTTCTTGCAGAAACACAGTGCTCTGTGCCTATACAGTGTACAGATAAAACAGATAAACAAGAAGCACTGTTTAAGCCTCAGACTGAAGATGATATAAATAGAGGTGCACCGTGCATCACATCTGTCACACCAAGAGGACCAGGCCAAGATGAAGAAGACACTTCTTTTGAATCACTTTCTAAATTCAATGTCAAGTTTCCACCTATGGACAATGACTCTACTTTCTTACATAGCACTCCAGAGAGACCCAAAATCCTTGGTTCTGCCATTTCTGAGGCGGTGTGCCAGGACAAATTTAATGTGGAGCTCAGAGACAGCCCAGGAAACTTTGTTAAAACAGAAGAAACTTTATTTAAAATTCAGGGAATTGACTCCATAGCTTCAGCTATACAAAACCTTAAAACAACTGACAAAACAAAACCCTCAAATCTTGTAAACACTTGTATTAGAACAACTCTGAATAGAGAATCGTGTTTGCCACCTGGAGACCGTAATGCATTATATGTAAATACATTCCCACTTCAGGACCTGTCTGAAGTACCTTTTCCCTCACTGGATTCCCCAGGAAAAGCAATCCGTGGACCACAGCAGGTACTGTTTTGCATTAACAAATATTTTATTATGTGTGAACACACATTTTGCCATACGCGTACAGATACGCATCTCTCTTAGCTTATAAGACTTCCTTTTTAAATTAGTGCCTAACCAAAGTTAAAGCTTTCAGTAACACATACAAGTCCTATAAGAAAGGACATAAAATTTTGAAAGATGAATATGAGAAAGCTCTATTATAAAATTTATAGCAGATTTTAAAATGCATGTAACCCTTATCCCTATCTAGCATGGTGTCATTTTCATAGTCCGTATTCAAAGCTTGTTTACTCAGCATCAATAGTGATACAGTTCATTAAATTTCATTAATTCCATAAAGTAAAACAAACGGTTTTTTAATTTAAAAGTTTATATTTATCATACTCATAAGAATTTTTCATAAGGCAAATAATTGCACCAAATATTCCTATTTATCAAAATAAATTAGTCTTGGTTTTGATTGCTAATCTGACACTGAACATGTAGCCTAATACATTTTTAATCTCTGCATATGTATGATTTCAATCAAGTATTTTATTTAATGTTTCTAAAGCTTAAAGACTATTTATAACCCACCAATCTACTCCTGCCCTCCCTTTTAGATTCAGGTTCTATCACAGAATGATTCTTTTTATTAGGAAAAAAAAATTTTGTTTAATACCGGGAAGGCAAATGAAAAATATATAATTGTTAAACAGAAGGTTGTGAAAATACAGATAGACGTGAATATATAACTTGCAAAGACTGCTTTGATTCTCTTTGCTTTAAGAGATTTATTTTTTTAAAAACCTTGATTGATACTCTTAGGATGTAAGTACTCCCTATAGGTTATAGACTTTTTCATCAGCATGCAAAGGAGGCATTTACTATAGCCAAGCTGTAGTATAGTTTAGAGGTAGGTAAATCTAGGGATTGCTGACAACAGCCTTAATTATAAACTCATTTGTGTTCTACATTGTACCTTATTTCATATTATAGCCTCAGTTACAGTTGCCACTAAATGAAACAAATGAAACAATTTCATTTATTGCCAGTAGAATTCCTGTGGAGCTGTGAACTGCATCAGTTCTAATGCTTGTTACTTGTTCTCCATTATATCTCTTGCTTGTTCTTTTACTAGTCTGTGCATTCATGTTTCAGTAGATGGCACCCTGCATTGTACATTTGCTTTCTATACTGCAGCAAGGGAAACAGCTGGTATGTGATTACAACTTGATGGAAAAGTATTCAGCTTAAAAAATGCAAGAGAATTGGTGTTGAGCTGTCATAAGACGTGGGGCATAAGGTTAGATAATTGATATTTTGGCAGAAAAAGCAATGAAATTAGTCCAATTTGAAAGTCATGTTACGGTTAGGGTTGCAAAAATATTTCTTAAAGTAAGTTCTTATAAACATCATTTTATTAGTATTAATAAAGCTTATATAATATATATGAAATTCTTGTTCATAATAAGACAAGTGAAATATTAGTTGCATTTTTCAAGTTTTTACTTTATGTTAATCATTACTACTAAACACGTCTTTTACACATTCAGCTATCATCACAAAAACTGGAATATACCAGCTTATTTTTGTTCTATATGATTTTCATTTCTTTCTTACTTTTGCTGAGTCAGCAGTTAGGGGTCCCAACTAAATAAATGCTATGAAGAGATCAAATCTAAACTATTAACTCTTACTGGAGGACTGTGAAGATAGTGCGAAGATTTGCCTACCAAATTTAGAAGCTAAATTGCTTCTAAGTTAATTTCACTGTTTTATATGGATATTAATAAAAATTATCTTTAAGGTAATAATCTTCTATTTACAGCCATGTCAGATTCCCATGAGTAGCTTATACTTTTTTGTTTAAACTGCAGATAACAAAAATTGATTGTAGCTAATTCTTAACTAGATTTTTGTTTATATACTCACAATTATTACAACTTTTCTTTTACCACAGAAGAAATGGTTTTCTAAAATATTTGGCTTCAAATTTTATAACATTATTTTAAAGAATATGATTTTTTGTAATAAGATTGCCACTGTTTCTTGAAAAGAATAGGATCCATGTTATTATAAGCCTTCTGTACTGAAAACTAGATAGACTTTGTATATTTATACCAATTGTACACAGCTGTCCTGTAAATTGTCTATAAGACAGTAATGTCCTGAAACCCAAATGCTTCAATTAGTAACATAGTGTTTACATAAATAATTTGTTAACTAGAATGAAAGAAGTTAGGGGATTGAAACTGTCAGGTGCTGGACTAGGCTGTGTTTCTTTCAAAACATGTTAGTAATAGGAGCATAAAGGAGTCTTAAATTGGTTTGATGAGGTGATTTTCCTCAAATTATCAGAATTTAGCTTTACCTAGATTGGGGTAATTTACCCATGTAAAGGTAAGAAAGAAAAAAATTTAATCATTTGAATTACACAGAAAATAAGATATTTTCTAGTCAACAGCATTTATTAAGCAATTACCTACTAAACCAAACCCTGTATCCTTCTAGAAGCATTAAAAAAAAAAAAGCTCAGTGCTGGCTTTTAAAGGTGTTTATGTGCTGGTGGTTATAATGGAGGCAGTTTTCTTAAATTATGATTTTTTTCATAATGCTTTAACTGGGCAACTCTTGACAGGTTTTACTTTATTTGGCCACAAGAAAGAGCAAGGGCAAACTATATATTACATAACAGACACAAAGTAAGAAGTCAGAAGAATGCATCTGATGTTAGCTTTTGTTAAATGTTAAAAAAAAAAAAAAAGCTGATCAATGGAATTTGTTTAGTAGTTTAAAAGAAAAATTTTCTTTTTAGAAATCAAAATGCTGATTTATGATTTCTTTATTTGTATTTGCTCATAAATAGTACTGAAATTTAAATTGCTTGGAATTAAGATGTATGCACACACATCTAGTGTATGATACATCAATAAAGGCCCTATAGTTTTAGATTTCTATTGTAAAATAGAAAAGATAGGATTTAATTAGAATGTCTAAAACACTGTTGTTTCAGAACTACTGCTGTTGAAGTAACTGAGTATTAAAAATTACTAGTGTTAAAGCTGCAGTGTTTTTAAGTATGTAAAGATAAAATTCAGGAATGTGTGTACCAAGTGATTTTTAAGCAAAGTTTGTCTGTGCCCATATGAAAAAGAGAACTGAGCCATGTCCTTATGCTAACAACGGAAAAGTAATTTTCTTTCATCTTAGGTAATCTCACATATAAAGTCATGTATAACTTGTTCAAATATTTGGATTTGTAATTCAGTGCAAGTTCATTTTAAACACAAGTAACAGTCAATATTTTTGTTTGTTTCCTGCAGCCCCTTTGGAAGCCCTTTCCTAATCAAGACAGTGACTTAGTGGTACTAAGTGGCACAGACTCAGAACTCCATATACCTCGAGTATGTGAATTCTGTCAAGCAGTTTTCCCACCATCAATTACATCCAGGGGGGATTTCCTCCGGCATCTTAATTCACACTTTAATGGGGAGACTTAAATCATATTTGAAAATGGATATGTCAAGTTCTATGTGATGATTTGGAGTTTGTAATACTATAAAAATACTTGATTGTAAGCTAAATTTAAAATCATTTATGGAAAAATTTAGTATCGCAGCTATTTGAATTTTTTCTAAACTTATTTTGTAACTTTATTATCTTTTAAAAGACCATTTTGTACAAAACTAATTCATTTTATTCATGTTTACAGTATTACCATAATTCAAAATTGTATTACAATTGCCTTACAGAGTTATATAATCATAATTTATGTTTTAAGTACCTAAGCTTATTGCTTGGATTACTATTGAGATCTATTGAACTTGGTAATGTCAAATGGCTAGAGGGTTTCATATAAAAATTTAAATTATTTATGCTACAGGTAATTTTTTTTAAATCTGTAATTGATAGAGATAGCAGACAACATAAACATCTAAGTAAATACCAAAATAAAGACATTTTGCCCCGTTATAATTATTTAAACACTTTAGATTGTTTTCAATAATGCACAGTTTTAATTTTCACTATGTGTATAGCTACACAGTGAAATGAATTAAATATTAAGAGTTACCTTATGTTGTGATTATTAAAGTGCTCTTTGTTCCTAAAATAAATAAACAAATCATATTTTGAGGGAAGTTATAAAATTCATGTTTTCTTTCTATTAACCTAGGTGGGTGATCACCAGTTATGATGTCACTTTACAATAAGTAAATCACTTTGAATGCTGAAATCATTTTTCAGCCTAAACATTCTAAAGAAACACTTGCTTTTGATGGGAGCAATTATAAAGCCCTGTAAGGATTATCCATATTTATTAATTTAGAGTAGAAATGTTCGCATTCCTGCTGAGAAATTTGTTATGCATTGTTAGCAGCCTGATTGATGGCCTTTGGAAGATGCTTGAGAAAGAGGATCTCAAAATCACAGTGCTGGAAAATTGTTTAAAATGAAACTTCTCTTTCGTTTTTCTTCCTTATGGTTCTTGCATGTTGGTTTCTCTTTTCCCCATTTTTTTTTTAGATGTTTGAAACATGGCTTCCATTTTATGAAGTAAACATTGATTTGTAGCTCTCAAACAGAAATACCAGACTTCACGAAGCAAGTGTTTTAAACTGGCGGGTTTGGCATGGGGGAGTTTGAGCAGGCCCCTGTGCCACATAAGAGCCTTAACTTGTGGAAGAGTGAGAGTGGTGCCTCAACTTCCCAGGGTGCCAAGCACATCACATTGACATCTTCCTCACCAAGGTGACATGGCGATTATTAGGTATTCACTGTGAAGGGTTTTGAGGCACGTATCTTTTCCATTGCCACTGGGGCTGAATGGAAATGCCTAGACAATTATCCTAGTCTCTTCCTTCCCCCTACCTCCCGCCCACCCAGCCTCCCCTCTCACTCCTCCCACACACACATACAAAATTAAAACTAAAAACGTCCCGGTGCGTACTGGCCAGAATTCACCACCGAACCTATCTCAACCTATCTCGTGAGAGTGAAGTCTTTTTCCCTCTCCTTTTCTAGAAGGGGAGAATCCCTCTCACGCAGTTGACAACTACTAGCTTGTTGACAGTCCAAAGTGGACCGCTGACCCCTTCTCCAGTTCATCCTCTCCCCAGCCCCACCACTTTTACTAAGAGTTGGGCACAGTGTTTTCTTTGGGAATCCAGCGGTAGCCTCTGCTCCAACTTCTGAGGGCAGAGACCCTATTGGGCCACCGGAGAGGCTCTTGTGCCGCCCTGCAGAGGCGGCCACAGCTCCAAGGTGGAGCGTCCACGGCCAGGTCTCTCCCTCCGTCTCATTGCTGAGTCGTGCAGGGGCCGTCCTTAGGCATCTGCTGAGCGTGGCCGGGTAAGAACAGCTCCCAGGTAAAAAAGCTGCACGCGCAAAACGCTGAGTCTGAAAAAACCACCCCCGCCGAGGCGAGGCAGTTGTGAGCGGGATGCCTGAGAAGTGGGAGGTGAATGTCCTCGGGAGGGCCCCCCCGGGTGTAGCTTTCCCCGGAGGCTGAGGCTGCTGCCAGCGGGGACATCTGCTTTCTTACACTCCAGCCTGGCTCACCCCGCCCCCTCAGCCCCGGGTTGCGCGGTTATTTTCCCAACACCGGGGGAGGGAGAGCTCGAGGAGGTAGAAAGGGGTGGATGGAAGCTTAGAAGACTCTCTTCCCACTCCCCCCGAGTCCCCTCCTCCCTTCTTCACATCTCTTAACCTTCAAGGTAAAGACTTTATAAATATGAAACAATAAGGGATTCGGCGCTCCCAGGCCCGCCGTGGGCTCAGTCCGGGGCTGCCCGGTACCGGGCGCGGCCCTTCTCTCCAACCTCGCCGAATTGGGCCGCGGTTCGGCGGGCTGGGCTGGGGCCGGCCGGGTGCGCCCAGCCTGTGGCGCCTTCTTCTCTCCCGGGCTGCTGCCTCGACAGCTGCTTGTAGCTACAGTAATTAGACTGTCAGTGCTTGTTAGAGGAGAGGGGAAACACGCTTCTGACAGCAGATTCCGAGACTCCCCAGTTTGTTAATTTCTAAGAGATCTTTAAAGCATTAATTGAGGTCTCCCCAACTCTTCCTTCCCGTCCCTCTCCCCAACTCCTCCCTTCCCAAAAATAAAATATAGGAGAAAATTCTCTCCGCGTGGAAGCAGTGTTTCCCGCAAAACTGGCAGCCCGCCCCGCGCTCACGCGCACACACGCCCCGGTTTACATATACAGAGATAGGCACACATGTACACGCGGAAGGTTAGCGCGGCGGAGGACTCGTCCAAATAGGCACCGGGATTGCATTTAAAATAATAGTAATAAATAAATAAATCAACTAGGAAGGAGAGGGGGGGAGGGAAGCCGAAGTCGGGAAGAAAAGAGAAAAGCAGCAGGCTGATTACGAGGTGTCAAAACTGCCAGGAGCAAGAAGGTGATAGCAATCAGGGGTGAGAAGAGTGCGGCATTCGTGCGGGGCAACTAATTATCCGTCTCATTTGAGAAGAGCAGCATTTGAGGCAGCAGCGTTCGCCTGCTGAACGGTGACAGATTGGCGCGGAGGAGAGGGGAGGTGTTAAAACAATGGAGCCGGGCGCGCGAGCGCTGCTGCATGCTAATCAGCCCTCCCTCCGCCTGCCTGCCGCGCTCCCTCCTTCCCCGGCCTCCCTCCTCCGCGCTCCCACCTCCCGCCTGCGGCGCTCCCTCCTTTCCAGCGGGCCCGCCGCCGCCGCCGCCCGCTTCCTGCTCCCCGCTTTCCCGCGCATCCTTCCCGCCGCTGGCGAGCGGAACCCATCCACCGCCGCCGCGTTCTCCGCGGGCCGGGGCCCCCGCGCTGCCCCCCCGCCGCGGGCCGGGCCGAGCGCCCACTCTCCGAGCCCCTTGGGGTTGGGGAGACCGACTCGGGCCAGGGCCCGCGTCTCGGCTCCATGCCTTAGAGGACAGCCGCGGAGCCTCCATTGTCGCTCCTACTGGCAGTTGGCTGTGGATCGGACGCCCTGGACGGCGACTGGGAACTCAAGCGAATTCGGGAGGCCAAGAGACAGCCAGGGGTGGGGACAAAGTCGGAGCCAGGGGAGCAAAGAAGGGCCCCCGGACCGACCGCAGGTCCCCCGCCCGCCCATTCTAAAGGCCATCTGCCACTCCCGGCCCTGGTCCCGGCGGCCTCGCCCCGCGGGCCTGCTGAGAGTCGCCAAGGTCAACCCTCGCAAAGCCCCTCGGATCCGAACCCCAGATCCCAGCACCCGTCCTCACTGTACCACACGTACCAGGGCTTAGCATTAGTTGTGTTTCCAAGGCCTGACCTCCTGACCCCAAGACTGGAGTAAGAGGCCTTCTGGACACCCAGAGATACACCATAAGACCACAAGAAACACCTTCTGTCCACCGTTTCCCTGCCGCAGAGACTATGGGGGCCTCATGGGGCCGGCCATCTCTGGCGGCGCCACTCCCTGCCTGATTGCTCCACTCACAACTCTGACCTAGAGAAGCTGGACAAAAACAGGCTTGCCCCAAGCAGCCGCTTGACAAAGAATCCACCAAAACTTGAGTGTATGGCTGAAAAAGGCCGTCCATACCTGTTGAGGCAGACCTGGTGCCCCAGGTTTTCATCCACCTTCCCCCTTACTTTTTCAACTTAAAAGCTGGTTGTTGTGCTGAAACTACACTTCTTTGCCTACCATTATAATATTTTTACAATTACAGATTTATAGAAACTACCTTTAGAAATGAAAAACTTCGACGTTCTTAATGGCTTAAGTGCGTTTAACCAACAAGCTTATGGAGAACTGGTGGGAATTTGGGCCGAATGAGAATGAAATCTCTTCTCGTTCTGCCAGAACTATTTAGCTAACCAGGTGCCTTAATTAACATAATAAAATTTCCAAACCATGGATGGAAAAGGAAAATAGCTGAAAGATAATCTATGCAATGTAATCTTTTTCTCTTACCTTTGCATAACTTTACACACACAATTGTTCTTGTTTTAAAAATCATATGTGAAGGCTTGATAAAACTCAGTGTACATATACAAAGATTTAATTTATATTATCGTTGCTGCCTTTCATAAACAAAGTACACATAAAATTAAAATGAGTAAATGTTCCTTTTTTATATTGTTATCAATATAAATCCTAGTCATGAAAAACTATGCGAGCACAAAAGAATAAACCGTCTTTCCCTTTAAAATATGCCCTTTAAAATATGCAAAGTTATTAGGATTTACTAAAATCACTTTGATTTTGATTTGTAAATCATTTAAAAGTTTTAAGTTGAAAATTCTTAAAATGGTTATAGTACTATTTGGGTTCCACTCTGGAAAATCACTACTAAACAGGCCTCTGCCCTTAGCACACTGCAGACTTTTCAGTGCTACAGTTATTAACTGGCATTTGGAAAATTCCCTGGTGTCTGAATCTGTTAAAATAACAGCAAGAAAAAATAACTTTACATTTATTAATATAAATTTGAGGTTCAGATGCTCCATCAACATCAAAATTAAGCAATTTATTAACTATTTGTCAGCCATTTCTTCATTAACTAGTTCTATAGAAACAATGTATTTGAAAATGTGAACCTATGGAGTTCAAATAAATTTAGTTCAGTTCCATGTGTTATCTATTTCTAATACCTAACAAAATTATCTGCCTTCCATCTACTTAGTTTTTATGGGCTCATTGTAATTTCATCTCAGTCTATAGACC